ATAAAAAACTGCAAGCTGTTATACCCTGTAAAAAGATTTACCAGGGAGAATAAATTACTAAAAACACAAAGTATCTCAGCAGAAAGAAGCACATGTATGCTGATCACCCAATAATTTTATCAGAAAAGCTGAGGCTGCTTAGACTAGCATAATTAGATTCTAATCATAGCCAAACATATATAGCGTTAATCTTAAAAAACAGCCAATTATTACTAATTGATCCCCTTTTTCTCTTTTGGTAGAATCTTTAACTGTACTCGTAATATTGGAAATCCAGTGTTTTCTTACATTTGAAGAGGGTTTAGAGTTTAAGAATAGACAATCTCTCAACTGTTTAGGAGTAGCATAATGCAGGAGACAAACACCAATACAACCCATAACATACATAGAAAAAGTCATGTAGAACATGCTTTACCTTGCACCTAGGATCTTTTAATTCAGTTGGATTTAGAAGCTTCCCACAATTTTCACACTGATCTCCTCGGGCAGAGTCATAATTACACCCTTCAGTTGGACATGTGCCCTCCACAAGTCGGTCAGCTAAGAATTTCTTGCATGTATAACAGTAAAGCTGGAAAAAAAGAAGCAAGAATTCAAGTTAAAAAGCATAACACTTAATAGAGAATATGTATCAACATGGATGGCAACATTTTGATAGCAGGAATGCGAGGGCAGTAATACAGCTACGCAAGGAAAAAAGAGTAGAAGTCAGAGAGTATAACAAACCCTGCACCTGTTGCATTGTGTTCTCTGACAACCAGTTGTTCTCCAACAATTTTTTGAAAATTGCTTGGCAAACTTCTGTTTGCTGTGGGGTTGAAGTTCGTCCAAATTCATCAAAACTTATATCGAACCATTTGTATACATCTCTGTGAATAGCATGGTACCTGAAGACGCTCAAGTGAAAAGATACATACATTTGTCAAAGATTTGTACAAAGAATGACAAAGAAGGGGAAAAGGACACCGCAATAATATTCAAGTAGAACACGCCAAGCATAAACTAATTTGTTTGGTGGAATCAACCAGATAGTTCCGACAATTGAAGGAGCAAGTGAAAGTGAATCTAAAATCACAAATTTCAACCATATATTTGAGATATATGATGTAGATTTAAAAGCTAGTCATAGAATACACCACATCCTTGAATGCATGCCAATTACTTGTCTATAGTAGAACAAACCAAGGCATACAAGCATTAGGATGCTAAAAAAGACATACTTGTTGCAAATCTCTTTAGGCGTGCAATTCTCTTCCATGGCCTTCGTCTCAGTTGCTGTCCCATATTCATCAGTCCCACAAATATATATGGCATTGTACCCTCGAAGACGACAATACCTAGCAAACACATCTGCACTCAACACACCTGCCATAATACCAATAAAAAAATCCTCAACGCATTCAATTGCAGGCCCAAGAACAATCTCACACTTGAAAATTCACGGAACAAATTGCCCAAATTTACAAAAATGAAATAGAACCAAGAAATAAAATAAACTAATAGATAGAAATGTTACGTCAGTTCTCGAATCACAACAATACAAACATGCACATAAACAGATACACACATACATACATACGAATGATATAGATATCCAGATTCCATACAGAGAGAGTTAACGTACAGCCGATGATGTTGCCGAGATGGGGAACGTTGTTGACATAAGGCAAGGCGCTGGTTATCAGTATGTTTCTCTTGCCGGCGATCGGAAGCTTGGAGCTGCCCTTGCTATCTGAGATATCTCCCATGGTCGCAGTAACCTCCAAAACCAACAGAGAATCCAAACAATAACCGAAATGTTTGCTACCGCCTTGGTAGTAGAAATGGAATTTGTAGTTTGAAGATGGTTTGCTCTTCCTTTAGATGTAAGAGTTTTGGAGCTTCGCTCGAAAATCTCAACAATGAAAACGAGAGACAGGAATGAGGAGGAAGCTTAACGGGGAGGAAGGAGGCGCGCTGCTGGTTTTTTACTGGTAACCTAGTAAGAGTTCTTGTCTGATGATCATTGCCCTTATATTCCCCATAAAATTACAATACTACCCTCCCTCTTCTGAAACAGATTTTCTTTCTTTATTTTCAGACAACAAAGATTAAGGTTTGGATTTTTATAATATAATTATATCAGATCAGTTCATACATTCAACTCCATAATTAAATTTGTATTTTTAATTGTTAAAGAAAATTTAAAAAAAAAAATCTTAATGTGAATTTGAAACATTAAATTAATAATAGAATATAGTTTACATTTAAGTTTTATTACATTTATATTATATTTTTATTCTAATAATATTTTAAATCAAACTCAATTTTAAATTAAAGTGGAACGTTCTTATTTGTAAACATAAATTGATACATACAAAATGCATATTTAAAACATCATTTCATATATTAATAATCTAAAACAATTTTTCCAATCTAGCTTAATAAAATTTGTTTATGTTATTATAAATATTTTTAAGACACATATTACACTATATACATTATTCATTTTAATGAATATGCTAATTCTTCAATAACAAATTTTATGTGCACCTATGTAATCTTTATAATTTTATTTAACCTAATGTGTAATATGTATAGAAATTTATGGCATCGTTACTATATATTATGAACTTTGTATAAACTTTGTCAATGAGCGGATGTAATGAGTATATATTTTAGGTTAATTTTATTTCAAATTTTAAACTTATTAAATATAGATATTAATATAATTAAATTCCCTAGTATAGTAACTTAAATTAAAATAAGTTTTAACATATTTATTATATTTTTTAATAAAATAAATATTTTATAATGATTAAATTTTTTAATTTTAATAATCACAATAAATTAAAAACTTATCATAATTTTTAAATTTTTTAAAGAAAATATATAATTAAGTTATAAATTTTAATTAAGATATAACTATTTTTTGCAGTATTTCGTAATGAAATTAAATATTTTTCTCATTATTCCTCCCTCTTGTTGAGATGAATAAAAAAAAAAAGAAATTCATGTTGGATTTTTGCCTCTTATTCACTTTTTTTTTTTTTTTTAAGAAACAATCTTTTATGATGGTTAAAGCTGACATGAAAACTCGAAAAAAAAAAAAAAAAGAGTCGATCTCGCGGTACAATGAGTATGTCTTGTCTCAGCTCCAATAGATTAGAGTGTTGTCACTACTTTTTCGAGGGTACCTGATTCTTGTGCATTATGAATGAGATACTGCAAAACTGTTCTGCATGCTAACAACTCTGTTAGAAGCAGCGAGCGGGCAGATCATCTACTCGACCATTCAGATATTTCTACCAGAATCTTCCCTGATGAGTCCCTAATGAATACAACAAAACCAGCCAAGGACTCGGCTTCAAACCACGAGCCGTCTATGTTGCATTTCCAGAAACCTCTGGCAGGGGCTTGCCACCCTGCTTGGCTAGGCGGGTGTTGGTGAGGGAGCGCACGCACACACACACACACACGGTGTCGGAGCTGTTATTCACTTCTTTGGAGCAAACAAATATGTATCTTTACTTGCACACTCAAATTGAAAGTATAAAATTGGTTTGGTTTAATATAATATCTAATAACAGAGAGTAAAGACAATTGATTAACTCCATAAGACAAAATATTATTAAAAATAGTATGAAATATAGTTAAGAAAAGTTACCTAAAAAATAAATTACACTACTTTAAACTAATATCGGGTGAGTCTCATTACATGAAAATACTTTAAAAAGTACTATAATATATTTTAATTATTTACAGAGAATTAATAAATTTTCAAAGTAGATTGTAAATTACAGCGTATTTATTTCAAAGTATTTATCATAATTAGTCGAGTAGACAATTGGAAGCATTTCAACAGGAAAAAATTATTATCATTTATTTATGATTAGATTAATTGTTTTGTAATACAATAATGGGTAACTAAGAATGTCAAAATTATAATCATCTCTTGACAGGTTTCAATACCAGTTAGGTAAAGAAGCATTCTGCAAAAATCTCCGCAAAATTACTTTAGAAAGTTCTTTGGTATCTAAGCCAGAGAAATATAAAATAGTAAACAGCAGTGAACCAATTTTATACAATAAGAATGCTTTGAAGAATAGGATCATCCTATTCTATACAACATTATAAGATAAGGGAAACAACTTTATTTACCATCTTATGTTCCGAAAGTAAAGCTAAGAAACTTTTAATTAGTTGTTTTTGAGATTTGCCTTAATGCATTCACGATCTCCTCTGCCAAAGATTCACTCTTAATGGAAGTAACCAGAGGACTCTCAGCAGGGACAATGTCATCTTTTAGGTCTGTGGCTCTTAGCAATTCTTCAGAACCTTTCTCCACTAACCCTTTAATGATCAGCGTCTTATGAGTCCCGGATATCAGCTCCTCATGATCAGTATCGCCACTTTCGCCAAGAATTACGTACATGTTTGCAACGCTCAATCTCCAACGTACAAAAAAGTACCTGAAATTCACAAGTGAAATGAAACATAAGCCAAGAAGATTGAAAATGTTGGATAACTCTTGTTAAATACCATATAATTTTGAATAAGAATCTATTTTATTGAATACAACTACTTGATCTTATATTTGACATAAAGACTTAGCAAAAAAAGTACAAAAGAGCTGGGGTTTTAGGATGATGATACCTGAGTGCTTGTGCTCGAGATGCAAGGAGAGGGACGATTTGCATTCTCGTTGAGTTCCTGCAATACATTGGATGACAACGGAGGCCCCTCATCCGAAGCTTCTGCCTCAAGTCATCTACTCTCTTAACCTGTAAAACCAATTTACCATAAGAAACCAGCCAGTAATTTACAACATTATCAATTATGCAACCAAATATTTCTATGTATCTACCTTACTATGATCCTTTATCAAATACGCTATACAATGGGCGTTACTAGACTTTTCATCTTCCTGAATAGGACTGACAGAATCTTTAGCTTTGTGTTCCCCTTCAGGTGTATTCATTAGCTTCCAAATGGTTTTCTTTAGACCTTCACAGCCCCAACGGTACTCAATATGTGATGCATAATCTGGATCGGGAAATAGCTTTCCATCTTCATCAGTATAAACACCTGGATAATACACTTCACTCCCACTGCTACAGATCAAAGCATCAAATTCACTCACTTGAATCTTTGCTGATGTCAAAAACTCCACTATTTCCGAAACAGGCATAGCAGTAGATATAGCAAAACCGGAGACTCGAGCAATTTGGGGGTCCAATCTAACAGCCTTAATTATATTCTGCACTGTGGGAATCATCTTCTTATCCGGAGACCCATGGCTATCATAGCAATCAAGTGTTATAACTATCAACCTACGTCTCCTTCTCAACGTGGGATACTTGCTAGCCATGTTTTCAAGATGTTTCTTTCCTGATTCTGTTTTTGGTTCAGATTCTGAATTCTTAATCTTGCTTAGAACATGTTTAACTCGGTCTTGCAGCTCAGGATCACCAGTTGATGTAGCTGTATAGTCGAGAGATCCATTAAGTGAAGGCTTGTCTCCATCAACTGAGAGCCTAAGTGAGATATCTTGTACATCTTTAAGCGAGTCATTAAGGGATGACTCTTCAGCAGCCTCATCTTCTGGGGTATCAGTTTGCCATTGTGGGTGCCTCATTCGAAAGGCTGCTACCCTAGTCAAGTAACTACGACAATGCTCAGGCCATGAGAAGAGATGTATGTTCTTCCAACCATTTTTCCTGCAATCATGCCATAAGTTTTTCTCCGATACCAACTTAAGCAGTGCATTGGCAATTGCTTCTTGATCATGAGGGTCTACAAGCAGGCCATTGTTTAGTGCCTGCAAATCATAACCAAAAATAACAGGAGGTTAAGAAATGAAGTCCTTCTACTTATCTCCCATATATTTAATCATTTATTCTTAAATGTTCCGGGAGTAGCCAAGATATTCGTTTACCCGATGGATGTCAACTGGTCCGCCATTCTTAGTAGCTACCATTGGAAGCCCATGAGCTGCTGCCTACATGAGAGAAATATGGACAAAAATTTCATTATTTGGAGTAAAAAAAGATGAGATCTGATCTCAAATAAAAACAAACCTCAATCAATGTAAGCCCAAAGGGTTCAACCAATGCCGGATTTATGAAAACTCCCTGCCATATCTCAATCTTTTCAGTAAAATCATCAATCTAAAACCTTATAACAAGTACAAGTATGAAGCTCAATGGACCTTTGTTTTTGCTGCAAGGCGGTATATATCTGGAACATCAGCTTGCTTGTGATGCTTAGGGTAAGCCACTAGCCCATAGAGGTCATACTTATCGATCATTTTCAGTACTGTTGTGAGCACACTAGCATTTCCCCCAGACATCTCATCTATATCATCCCTATTTCCCATTATAAGGGTCTGGACAAAAGCATATAATTAGCTGGGTTTAGAATTTATCATGTGCGTAATCTTAATGGCTAAATTTCAGATTTCAGAAGAAACCATACAAGATTTGCAAGTTCTCGCAAGGGACGACAATCTCCAAAAGCTTTCAACAGAGTGGTTATGTTCTTCTTCGGATCAGCTCTCGATAAGGCCAAGATCATTGGCTTGTGAGGATTGGTAAGAAACCTCATAACCTGAAGAACATAAGATAAAAGAAAAAGACTAGTAATTTAGCAACAAGATTTTATTGTCATATAGGATAAAAATGAGAGAAATACACTCACTTCAGACCATATTGCTGGAACTGCTTTCGGGGAAGATCCATCTGCACCACTAGTTGGTGTTGTAAGTTCCCCATCGAACTCTGGGGTATCTTCTTGAACAACAACATTGCTGAAGTCCATGCCAGGAGGAATAACCTGGAAATCAGAAATTAAACTCTCTTTATATATGAATAATTCATTCAAATCATATGATGTTTACAGGATGATTCCAACCATATATAAACATGTGATTCTAACTTCTGAGAATCAAATTGTGGCATGAATTTGGAACATTCTCAACCATTCTTCCATATGCTAATTCCCTAAAGGAAAAGTGCTCTATGTATGAACAATCCACAAACAGAAAGAAATGACATACCCACATCCTTGGCATGTAACGGCCATGGCAATTAACCCCACGTCTTGAACGAGCTCGTAAAACTTTCTCAAGCTTGACATCAAATCCATCATAAAGTCCCCACTGTTCTTCTATCTCCTGTCTGGTACTAGTGATAACAAGTTCTGCAGCATCCAGAGAAAGCTCTTCTGCTTCAATCCTCCGCATAATCTTATATGTCGAATTGATGTCCTCCTTCGACTGTCGTCCCTGCTTAAGAAGCTGCTCAAGCTTGTTTCTCCCTAGTGAATGTCCAGTTAAAACCATTGGTACATTTAAAGCACCAGATAGAAGAGCTGCACTGTCCCCTGCATCAGCATAATGACCATGAATAACATAAGGCCATACCGGCTGCCCTTTACCAATTTGTTCACCCAAAACTTTTGACATGTTAAGGATGTGAGCTAGAGCTCCATCAACAAATTCTTGAATGTAAGGCCAAAGTAGCTCTTTTCGTAGATATTTATCGCGTGGTCCGAAAGGAATCCTAATAATATATGCCCCACTGCTTTCCCCAACTTCATTGCCATCTGCATCTTCAGGTCCTGCACTTAACATCTCGGTAGGCTCACCATAGCTCCAATCAACTTCAGGTGAGCAGATTTGACGAGTGAAAAGTCTACTCTATACACTCCAGGCATTCTCGCAAGTGCTCGAGCAAGCTCTACTACATATTTTACCTGAAAAGTTTTTCAACAAAACAAGGAAAACCTGTTTAATAGGGAAAAGTAAGTACTAGCCAATCATTCATATGTCTCAGAATGCATTATACCTGTCCACCAGTGTCCGAGTCCCGACCTAGTTCCATATTTTCGCCCCGGACCAGACCATGCAAACTAGCAATAAAGAAGAAATGAAACAGTTTATTACTATTGATGTGACTTGATTATATATATGTATACATACTGAAAAATATTTTGTGTATATACTGAAAAATATTATGGAGAAAAATCTTAATTTGTCTATATAAAAGTATACGACTTTATTGTTGATGCACTCTCAATTTTCATCATAATAAAATATTTCTTCTTGATCTTACTCATGAATGTAAGCATATTTGTCAAACTACGTCAATCTTATATTTCTTATTTTGTTTATTGCTTCGTGTAATTGTGTATATATTGGGAATCTATTTTCTCAACGATTACAATACAGAAAATGGATTGTGCTCAAAGTAAATTATCTTAAGAATCCATGTGGCCGCACATATTGCATAAAGATCAACTCTGGATGACAATATAGTTGGAGATGAGCTTTGAATTTCAGGATTCTTGACAAGATTTCTTGTTTAATAAATTGAACCATGTTATTAGACAATAAGCTTAGCATATTATGATGATACATAATATATTATTATATAGTCCTATAAGAAGCAATACCTGATGAGAACGATGTAAAGCTTCTTTTCTTTCTTGTCATCAGACCATACTTCCACATTGGAAAAATTGCGCTGCAACCTCTTTCTTGGGGTCTCAGATTGTACTATTTCCCCAACGCCATCCCCCTTCTCGCCTTCGGAGAGGTCTTCGGACATATCTTCCGTTGCATCTCGACGCCCTTGCTCCCATTCCCGTCTCCGATCCGACAACCTTTGTGACTCTTCCCACTCCAACTATATGCATAAAGGACTAACACACTTTAATCTTCATAACTTTTCATCTTTCAATTTACTATTGGCATAAAAGGACTTATCTATCTACTTCAAACTTCTCATCTTTCAATTTTGATTGATTTAACTTTGTTTGAAAACTATCCAATACAAAATTTTCAATCTTAATCATTCTTGTAAATTATCAATGGCCTGGAAATTATGGGTTTCAGCATATGACCCCCAAGAAAATGAACATATATATACAGGAGATTACTGTGCAAATGGACCTTCAATTTTTCATCGGCTAACTTTTAATCAAAAGAATTATAAGGAAGAGAAGAACAAACTCCATATAGAAAAAGAAGTAGAAGGTCAAAGCAACCAGCCATTTACTGAGAATACTATAAAATATTCACAATCACCAAATTGGTATGTAAATGTATACACCTAATACATATTCAAGAAATATATACATGCACCCTTCTATTGGTACAGGCATATATAGAGTAGCAATAACTGTATAGAAACATATTTATACACAAACAACCAGAAAACAGAGTTACACACACACACATATATATAGAGAGAGAGACAAAGGGGGGAAGAGAGATGAATACATGAGCACCTGCTTCTTCTTGCGGGTGAGATGCCATATGCGCCAGCACATGTTCTCGAGGCGAGAGCTGCGCTCGCGGGAGTTCCGAGTAGCAACCACCTTAATCCATGTTCTATGGAGATCAGTCTCGTCAACCCCTGTCACCACCTCCTCAACGAAATACTTAGTGGGATTGAAATGGCCGCCTTCCCTCAGATTCACCGGCGCCGGCTTCTGTTCTTCTATGGCCGATGCTCCGCTGTCCAGAATGGCTTCCAAGTACCCATTTATCCACTCGTTCCCCGCCATTTTCTTTTATTTTCCCTGTTAGTTAATTCAACATGTACACCAGAGAGAGTTTTCTCTGTGTTTTAACGGCTGAAAGGAAAAAGAAGAAAGTAGTTTTTTTATAAGCATGCAAATCCTGTCAGTTTATGAGAAAAAAGAAAGCTTTTTGATGTGGGGATCCCAAGAAAAAGCACATAAGAATTTGTAAAAGGAGAATCAGCAAAAAATAGGTAATAATTATTGGGTTTTTTTAGTTTATAAAGGAAAAGAAAAATGGAGAAAATGGTAAAAGAACAAAGAGTAGAATTAGAGTAAATAGAGAGACGTGTCAAGAAGAGGTCGAAAGTAGAGTTTACAGGTCGAGAGAAGATTGGTGGGAGAAGGAGAAAGAGCGGCCCTTTCAAGATTGTCCGCTTCCAATGCGAGCTTACCGCTTTCCTTCACTTTCTCTCGCTTTGTCTTCAGCTCTCTCTCCTCCTTTCATTCCTCCTCTCTCTCTCTCTCCACCTTCAAATCCATCATAATAATATCAATATATATATGTATATACATGCATTTGTATTTGTGTGTGCGTGTGTATATTATTATGTATGCATGTATTTCGTTAACCTTTTTACATTCATATATTAATATTCAACTCACTCTCTCATTCAAACATGCATAGATGAGAAATGATTTTTTTTTTTTTTCAAATAAATATATGTGTATATGTTTAAACTTCATGATTTCTGCTTGGAGTTAATTTCATCTATATAAATATTCTAGATTCAGTTTTATCCAAATATATCTAAAAGATTTTCTTACAACAGAAATCTATTATCTATAATTTGAACACCGGTATATACACACACACACATATACATATATCAATATCATGCATTAGTGATATTTTCTGTTTTCTTTCACAACTTATTTCTTTTTTACTAATTAAAGGAATTAGTTTATATCTAATATAAAGTATAGAAAATAGAATTGCCTAATTAAGAAGGGTTTTGAAAATTGAAGAACCATAAATCTGCATGGACGACGGGTTGTGAAATATGCAATTACATTATTATTTTAGATTGTAATGCCTGTATATGTATACACACACATATATATATATTATGTCATTTCTCTAATGAATATTTGGTCAGGATTCTAGCATTGCTCGTGCCGCTAAAACACAGAATTTGATAAGAGAGAAAATACATAAGATGAATAATATTTTTAATATTTTAATTTTATATTTTCTTGATTTATTAATTTAGTTTTTTTAAAATAGAAATATAATATTGATTTATTTATAAATTATGTAAATATTTTTTTTACAAAAAGGGCAGATCACATCCAGCTTCTAAAAAGAGAAGAGAGAAAAATGAACTTTTGAGGGTTTTGTCATGATGTGCATGTGATATTTAAAGACAAAGTAGAATACCACATAAAAATGTGAATCTTTTACTCCACCATCATATCTTCTTATTGGTAGTATATTAGGATGTGATAATAGTTCATTCTTTTCAGTAACGTATAGCAAAATATTTAATATATCTATAACGACAAATTTATTTTTAATAATTGGTAGTACTGATAATTATTTAATTAAATTGTTAATACGTTATTTTCTATTATATGTTCGAATTAGATAATACTCGAATTTGTGTATATTTTAAATTTTACTTTAAATATAAAAAAATTATGATACATGTGCTTGCGTGCGCGCGAGTGTATGTGTGTGTGTCTAATAATGTAAAGTACAAGTGAATTAGACATAATATAACTATCATGCAAATTATTTTTTATGTCAAGATATTGTAAATCCGATATTTTTTGTTTTGCACATAAAAAACTATACATATATAATACTATTTTTTTTTCATAAGATGATGTGGGTTCGAGTTATATAATATTATCATATGTACGTATTTTAAATTTTAAAAAATTAGGGTGGTAATAAAGCTACGAGTGAAGTATAATGTGATAATTAAGATGTAAATAAAAATTTAAACAATCATTGTCAAGAAGAAGATGGTATATGGCATATATAGAAAACAAATGTTATTAATGTATGAATGTATGTTTCTTGTATATGTATATATAGATAGATGCTTAAGTATGTGGCAAGAGATGGCACAATCCCAGCTGTGGTAACCAGGATCAACCAAACTTTATCTAATCTTTGACACAAACCATATTTTGTTTAAACAGATGAAAGCTTTTTCACACAAGTAGCTTTCTGGTTTTGTTAGGCAGTGCAATTATTTTAGGAACACCACCAATGTGGCCTCAGCATCCAAACAAAAATATGGGAGTGCGCATCCACACACACTTTCATTTTATGTCCTACCCATCACTCCTTCTATAATTATATATATATATATATATATATATATATATATACGCACATAATGCATGGAACTGCCAGCTGCTGAATTATTCAGAAAGAAACCATTCTTAAGGGTTCTCCATTCACATGGTTGTCCTTTTCAACTTTGGCTACCAAATTAAAGTCTTTATTTGCAGAAATCCAGACTAAGATCACTAGGGCTTATTTATTCTTTATGTATGCAAATATGGTGATTTGAAAGTTTAATTAAGTTAATCGTCAGACTTAATTCGTACCATGCAAACGTGGTACTTCTCCTTAGTACTTTAGGAGCTTAGTGAGTTTAATTAGGCCAATGTCACAATTAATTGGTTATAATTTATAATTTATTAAAATATGATAAATTAAATGATTTTACATGTACTTAAATTTTTATTAAAATTTATAAATTTGTGCTGACCATTATTGTAACGATCAACTTTTTTCGTTGAAAAATAAGCGTTATTCCGCATACACAACCTGATAAATTTGCGCAGCACTAAATTAAAACTTAAGATTCAATCATTCTCTATACATAATTATAAGTCATGAGTTTTACAAAATTCTTTACATTACATCGCTATAATATAATTAAACTGACTTCACAATATGAACTCTCACTGTTCCTAAAAGTTCTTCAAAATCTTTCTTCAACCTTGAACTTACTCATAATTTGGATTAATTTGCATTTGGGGGGAGGGAAGGGTATGAATTGGGGTGAGTTCCACGGACTCAGTAAGAAAAATAAACAGTACACAAAAAAAAAACATGCGCACATTTAATCATCAAATCTTTTAAATCTGTTCATTCAGTAAACATTCTAAATTCCTTATTATTAATTCGGTATTTCAGTATCGTATCCTTTACTCATGACTTCCTATTTCTTCATATCAGTTTATATCTTATTAAAAATAGTTTCACTGCGAGATGTTGTTTCCGCCGGAATCAATGAAGGCAGTAAGGATCTCATCTACCACGTGAATATGTTACAATTCAGTTTATAGTACTCAATTTGCAGTGCACAGTATACAGTTCATAATTCTTATTGCTTTGTCACGTCTGGCTAAAGCTATATCCACGGGTAAGGTTCTCCACAGTCACACATTAAAATGCTACACACACACACACCCCTTTCCTTGGTGATACCAGCTAAACGAATTTTCTCATCTTTTAAAGATTCTTATGTTATTCCTTTACTAATCATGTTTATCACTAGATGACCTACTCATGCATGTACCTACATATACATTATATGTATTATACATGAACATGCCTACACAATAACCATAATATATACATCTTATATACACGGCCATCGATTTAAATAAATAAATATATATATATATATATATATATATATATATATACACACAACACATATAACATAGATATACTTTTATATATACACAACACATATATGTATTCCATAGCATGCATATACAAGTTATTCATTCGTATCCTTTACCAGTATACATAAATACATCATACAACATACAATTAAATATATATATATATACGTACATCATGCACACATATAACTCAGTAATTAGATTGCACAAAATCTGCATATACGCACTAGTGACAATATGCATACATAACATAAATCATATACAACACCGTATGTAACACCCCAATTATTATTATTATTATTATTAGTATTATTTTATTTTGATTTTTTGTAATTTTTATATGAATATATGAATTTTTATATAGTTTTAATTTAGTTTAATTTAATTAAATAGAAATAATAATAATAATAATAATAATAATGGGTAAAATTATTTTAGGGATTTAATTGAAAGTAATTTTGAAAAAAAAAAGGTGAAAATTTGGGTTCTGAGGGTATTTTTGAAAGAAAATTTGAAAACTGGAGGTCAAAACTTAATTTAGAAAAATTGTGTCACGTCAGCTGCCCGATCAGCAACCCCGGCCAACCAGAACGCGCCACGTGGCAGAGACGCTGACACGGGAGGCCACACAAAAGGGAGCCATGAGGGCAATCTGCGTGCGCACGACGGACGACTCATATTAAAAGCACGCACGGACAGCCCAGATTGCATGCGTATGGACGTCATAGATTGAATCGTGCACGGCGGTCCAGATTCATTTACTTTTTAATCGCGATCGGACAGTTCAGATTAAATCGCGATGGACGGCTCATATTAAAAGCGGAAGGTTATAAATAATCTCATCCACACTCAAACCCAAACCCTAGTCACCATAGCCCTCGCCGGAGAAGACAACCCAGCCGCTGGGGAGCCGACCGCCGCCACCTGTCGCCACACCAGAGCACTTTTAGGCCGCCAAACGAGGTAAAAATTCTCCCCTTGGCTCGTTTTTCCATGCTGAACCTCTATGTGGTCAAATCGGAGCCAAACCACCGGCTGATTGGCCAGAAAACACCGCCGAAGTCCAGCGGCACTGCCGCAGGTTTCTTTGATTTTTGCCTCCGATGAGGCCCTTCCCGGTTCCCGTTCGATGTAATTTTTATACCACTGTGACCACCGTCCTTTTCTCTACAGGTTGGTCGGAGCAAAACACCAAATCACAACTCGTGCCGGAGGAACTGCCGTACCCAAGAGCTTCCTTGTCGGTAAGTCTCGGTTTTCTGAATTTTTTTGGCCCAATGAAAGCCCTAGGGGTGTTTTATCACAAGAACCAATGCAAGTTTGGCCGAATTCGGCCGAAAACAGCTGGAAACGGCCAACCCAAGGCAGATCGCCGTCGTGCCGGAATTCTGAAATTGGTCGAAAGGGCCCTGGGTTTGATTTGAGGTTTTTTTTTGGGGACATGTGCATGTACCGGAAGTGTATTTCAGTTTTCGAAAAAAAATTAATGGAATCTAGGGACTGCCCGAAGGCGCGGTGAGAACTCGATTTCAGACTCCGAAACAAGTAAGGATCCATCACCCTATTTCCTATCACGACATTAAAGCTTAATACATGATAAAGTGGTATTTTATGAATTAATAGATATGTATAATTAATTAAGATTGCTAATGGAGCCCGAAACTGATGTATTTTTTGGTCATGTATTGTTTGATTTATTTTACAGTTTTGAATACAATATGGTACCTGATGTGTTTATTATATGGTTTCGTATGCATGAATCACAGTTTCATATATTATGGTTTGAATTATTGTGAACCCGATG